TGGAACATCCTGTCTTTGTCCACCTTGTCTATTCTGCACAGCATTTTATATGTCGTTATCATGTCTCCCCTAACCCTCCTGTCCTCCAGTGTCGTCAGGCCGATTTCTCTTAACCTTTCTTCATAGGACATTCCCCTTAGTTCTGGAACTAACCTTGTCGCAAACCTTTGCAGGTTCCAAACAGGTGCTGCATACTCCAGTATGGGCCTGACGTACACGGTGTACAGTGTCTTGAACGATTCCTTGCTAAGGTATCGGAACGCTGTTCTCAGGTTTGCCAGGCGCCCATACGCTGCAGCAGTTATCTGGTTGATGTGTGCTTCCGGAGACATGCTCGGTGTTATACTCGCCCCAAAATCTTTCTCCTTGAGTGAGGTTTGCAGTCTTTGGCCACCTTGCCTATACTCTGTCTGCGGTCTTCTGTGCCCTTCCCCTATCTTCATGACTTTGCATTTGGCGGGGTTAAATTCGAGAAGCCAGTTGCTGGACCAGGTGTCCAGTCCATCCAGGTCTCTTTGAAGTCCTACCTGATCCTCATCTGATTTAATTCTCATTAACTTCACATCGTCTGCGAACAGGGGCATTTCTGAGTCTAACCCTTCGATCATGTTCACATATACCAAAAATAGCACTGGTCCTAGGATCGACCCCTGTGGGACCCCGCTAGTCACAGGTGCCCACTGTGATACCTCATTACGTACCATGACTCATTGTTGCCTCCCTGTCAATTATTCTCTGATCCATTGCAGTGCCCTTCCTGTTATATGCGCCTGATCCTCTAGCTTCTGCACTAATCTCTTGTGAGGAACTGTGTCAAAGGCCTTCTTGCAGTCCAAGAAGATGCAATCAGCCCACCCCTCTCTCTCATGTCTTACTTCTGTTATTTTATCATAAAACTTCAGTAGGTTTGTGATACAGGATTTGCTTTCCATGAATCCGTGCTGGTTGGCATTTATACTCTGACTGAAGAAATACTTCAGTCATAGTGTGTGTGTGTGTGTGTGTGTGTGTGTGTGTGTGTGTGTGTACTCACCTATTTGTGGTTGCAGGGGTCGAATCTTAGCTCCTGGCCCCGCCTCTTCACCGATTGCTATTGGGTCCTCTCTCTCCCTGCTCCCTGTGTGTGTGTGTGTGTGTGTGTGTGTGTGTGTGTGTGTTCCTACATCCTTCTACTAAGCAAGACAGGCGCCAGTACTCATACACAAGGAGTTATATGTAGTATTTGTTTACGTAAGAGTAGCTCACGGTATCATTATATGGAGCGAGATGTAGTCATGTCAGCTGTTCGGCATCGGTTCCCCAGTCTTTTTCCTTTCATTTCGGCCGGCTACAGCAAACCCTCAATTCTTTTGTATGGAGAACATGAAATTCTCTCATCAGAGGGTGTTCAGCAGGGTGACCCACTAGCTCCACTTCTCTTCTGATTGGCAGTAAGAGAACTAACTTCCAGCCTACGCAGCGAGGTCAGCATCTGGTACCTGGATGATGGCACTCTGGCAGGTACTGAAGAGCCCCTGTTAGAGGACCTACAACTGGTGAAGACACAGCGAGAAGACTTGGAACTCATCTTCAATCCCTCCAAGTATGAAATCACAGCGAACCAGGGAATAATCAATGCTGTGCGAAGAATCCTCCTAGAAGTCTCTACTACCACTCTTGGGAGCACCGCTGGGTCACCAGGCCATCGACACTGTCCTAAAGGACAAATTGAATGACCTGATGAGAATGGAGGAGAGAATAAGCGATCTTGATGCCCATGATGCTCTGTATCTCCTCACAAGGTGCCTTACTAAGCCAAGACTCGCTTCCTGAGGTGTGCACCCTCTTTTGACAACCCAACACTCGACGAATATGACGCACACCTGAGGTCAACCTTTAAGAAGGCACTAAACCTGTCACTAGAGGATCCGCAATGGGATCAGGCAACCCTCCCAGTGCAACTGGGAGGTATAGAAGACAGAAAAGCAGGTATAGACCTGCTTTTCTGTCTTCGTGTTTGGCTTCCAGTGCATTAGTCAAGAAGATTGTCCCCGAACCTGACCATCCGGGCTGTGGCTCATACGTTGGATTGCGTGCAGCCATCAGTAACAGCCTGGTTGATAAGGCCCTGATCCACCATGAGGTCTGGTCACAGACCGGGCCGCGGGGGTGTTGACCCCCGGAACTCTCTCCAGGTAACTCCAGGAAAGCTTGAAAGACGTGGTAGGAGCTCAAGACCACAGGTTTACTGAAGCAGCGTTTCTGTGGGACCAGTAGACCAGATCCTCCCAAAGAGCACAAACAGTCCCACTGGGACAAACCGATCATACAAAAAATCGCCAACACAATGCTCACCAACGCTTCAGGAAAGGACAAAGCTCGTCTTCTGGAAGTGAAGGCAACACACTCAGGAGATTTCCTTTTAGCTGTTCCCAATTCCTCCCTGGGCACTCGACTCGACCAACAGGCCATTCAGATTGGTGTTACTCTTCACCTAGCCGCCCCCATCCTCACCGAACATAGGTGTATTTGCAGCAGGGCGACGGCTGATCAATTCGGACTTCATGGTCTCGTGTCACACAGCAGAAGGGAAGTATGCCAGACATGAGGTCAATGACATCATAAAGAGAAACCTCGCCACAACCAGTTTCCCAGCTCAACGGGAATCCCAAGTGCAGAGGTCTGACGGAAGTCAAAAGCGTCCTGATGGAGCCACTCTGCTACCTTGGAAGGATGGAAAGCAGATTGCCTGGGACTACACCTGTGCTGCCACATTGGCAGACACCTACTTACCATACTCCGTAGCTGAAGGGGATGGAGCTGCCAGTCACAGGGAGACCCAGAAGATCCGTAAATATGAAGACCTTCCACCCTTGCTATAACTTCATCCCAATAGGGTCGGAGACCCTTGGAGCATGGGGCAAGTGTGCTCTAAAGTTTCTCAGAGCTGGGTGAAAAGCTTTTCATAGAAACCAAGGACCACAGGGCGACTCAGTGTTGCAATCCAAAGAGGAAATGCCTGCAGCATTCTGGGCACGCGGCCCACTGCCAGGGAGCTGGGCGAAGTATTCGAGATGTAGCTCTGAGTTGTTATCTATGTTTTACTTTCTATTGTATTTTTGTGAATGTTTTGTCAATGTATTTTGTCTTTAAATAAAATATATATTAAATATAGGGGGTGGTAGGAGAAAATTCTCAAACAGCTTCAGGGAGAACCTTGAGTTTTCCCTGAAGCAAGTTTATTCTTTTCTCTGAGGATTAGGGTCCCCAGGACAGTTTTCCCTCACTCTCTTCTTATAAAAATTATATATAATTATATATATATATATATATATATATATATATATATATATATATATAATATATATATATAAATATATATTATATATTTAAAATATATTATATAAATGTGTTACAAAAAACGCGATTCTAAAAGCTTAGAGATCTCCAGTGAATACTAGAAAGGACTGCTCTTCTAGCATCCAGCCTGTTACTGGGTTTTCGTAAAAAGTAGTCAGTATCCTTGTCCAATTATCCATTAGAATTCAGTATTTATTTATTTATTAACAATTTGAGCACACATACAGAGGTACAAAAAAATACAGATAAGAGCAGCATGCCAAAGCCACTTATACTATGCATAGCATTATGGGCTGGCTTAAAATTAACTTAAGATTAACTAAGCAATGATGAAATCAGTGATAAAACATTAATGTAAACAGATTACTATGAAGCACAAGTGAGTATGGTTCAATAGTGCTTCAGGATTAAAACTGGTAGGCTACTAACTAGAGAAATTAAAATTTAATAAATTTATTAAGTATCATCTAGAGGTATATCATCAAATTAAATTAAATTAATCAATTCAAACAAATTAATAGTAATCACTTCTCTCGTATACAATAGTATTGTGCTGAAAGCACATATCACATTTGTAATTCTTAAGTACCATCTGGTACATTAACATTTAATAAGATATTACAAATATGTACAAGTTTGTGTGAATGTGTATAAGTGCTCTAAGTAGTTCGCTATGTCTCACGACTCGACTAGACTTAAACAAGTGAATGACAAAGTCCTCAAACTAACTTCTTAACCAACTGGCAATCAGAACAGTCTGCTTGAACAATAAAAAGAATGCTAAACCCAATAGCAATATAACAAGCAACTGCGACACAGAATCAGGAACAAGGAGATAATATAACGACACTAAGTAGGGACCATCTGCAGATCCTCCACGAAAGTCACAAAGCTCCCATACTACTGAATCTAAGTTCATCATAAGAAAATCACCGACTGTGACAATACACAGATACCAGTACAAGTTAGGTCAGAAGCTACAGCTCAGGACCTGAGTTGCTCAGAGTGTCTATGCGACACACAACCTCAGTACAACGTCGAAAATCACTAAGTCTATACAATGTTCTGTGAACAGTCTCCAGAACTAACAATAATGAGACAAGAGACAATCTTCCAACAAGGGCCAATAAGGGAGATTTGGGCACTTGTCAAGAATCCGTCCAACCACCAAGCGAGTCTAGACCAGACTGAATACTTCAGGCAAGGTGAGGACACCCCCTCCCCCTCGATCACGTGATAGCTCCGTGGACAGCTGCTGCTCAGTAACGAGAAGCTGGCAGGGAAACGAGCAAAGAGCGATAATTACAGTAGTTAGACAATCAAGACTTGAACTGAGCACATAATATGTTACATCCTACCTAACAAATGGAAGCTAAGTCAAATAATAATATAAAGCAATACATTTACGATTTAGCTATTATCGCAAATACAAGCAATATAAAATTATATGAAAAGGTAATAATTATATACATAATAATCATTGCAACCCATTCAGGGGTTGCAACTGTGTGTGTGTGTGTGTGTGTGTGTGTGTGTGTGTGTGTGTGTATCGTAACTGCTAAGTCCATTTGCTCTCAAGTTTTCCTCATTATTGACACATTGATAAATATTTGCATATAGTGTTCACAGATGTGAATTTATTTTGAAAAACTTTCTTCCAGGCTTTAATTCAGTGGGAAGGAATACCCGGAGCACCCGGGGTATTATCCTGGGCAGAGCTCTTGGCTGTGGGCATGGCTGAACCCGACACTCTCCTGCAAGACAGACTCTCACTCTCAGCCGTCAATCAATGCTGCACATTGATCTACACTTCAGGTAGATATACCTCATCTAACGTTCAAACTTAATAGTTTAGAAACCAGACAAGTTGATAACTAAGATACTTGTACGACACTTGGGTATCTATATCCCACAATAAAGATACCAAGGTGTTCCACAATTGTCTTATTAAAATTTTAATAACATTATTTGTCTAATTAAATTTTTAATTAAGTGATGAGAGTCAATAAAGTGCCAGAAATATTACTGACTCGGTAATTACCTCAGTCAGATAATTACTTGTAGACAAGGTTGACTGTGGTACAAACAAGGTTGACTGTGGTGCAGACAAGGTTGATTGACACATACCCATTATGTGCCTCTTTAATGTTGAGGTATAGTCCCTGGACTCAGTGTCTACTACATACACAGAACACTATATTCTAATGTAAACCCTCCTCTCAAACTCCTCCTGTCTGCAAATCAGTTTAAGACCCAATTAAGAAATCACCTCATCACCTAAAATTAACCAGACAAGTCATACCTAACCACTACCAGTTTCTCAAAAGCTATTCATATTGTGCTGATGAATGCTCAGTCACTAACTACTTCGAAATTAGGATGTCTATTTGTCCATTGTTTTAAATAGTAGTACATGTATATTGTAATACAGTATATCATAATGTAAATTGTTCCATTGTAATACCAGATTTCATTGTTTTAAATAGTACTAAACTCTAATACATCATATTGTAAATTGTTTTAAATTGTTACATTGTAATACTGCAATCTTTATTAACTAATTCAATAGTGTAATAAGTCTCTACTAGACTTATCAAAACCATGTAGCATCACCTGATATAATATTAAATTCTCCTGTACTCTCTCTAACTCATCTAATGACCATATGAACTATGTATTATTGCCTTACTAATCTTAAGTTAATCACTAAGTTTGCCTGAAGTGCTCAACATACAGAGGGACTTTTAGCAACGACACCAACTATTATATTCCTCTGTACAACCATGTAATTTGTTAAACTCAACATCGTTATCTTTATCTTTGTACGTACTCATCTATATGTGGTTGCAGGAGTAGAGTCATAGCTCCTGGTCCCACCTCTTCACTGGTCGCTACTTGGTCCACTCTCTCCCTGCTCCATGAGCCTTATCATACCTCTTCTTAATCCTGACAACTAAGGCTAAAGAAATACTTCCTAATATCCCTATGACTCATCTGAGTTTTCAGTTACCAGCTTTGGCTCCTTGTTCCTGTGCCCCGTCTCTAAAACATTCTAACCCTGTCCTCCTTGTCAATTCCTCTCAGTATTTTGTAAGTCTGTATCATATTCTTTCTATCCCTCCTATCCTTTAGTGTCACCAGGTTGAGTTCCCTTAACTTCTCCTCGTGAGACATATCTCTTAGCTCAGGGACTAGTCTTGTTGCGAACCTTTGCACTTTCTCCAATATCTTCACGTGTTTGACCAGGTGAAGATTCCATACTGGTGCTGCATACTCCAGTATAGGCCTGACGTATAAGGTGTACAGTGTCGTGAATGTGCTCCTCAGGGGACGTGCTCGGTATAATGCTTACCCATGATCTTTTTCCTTAAGTGAGGTTTGCAGCTTTTGATTCCCTAGCTTATACTCTGTTTGCGGTCTTCTTTGTCTTTCCCCAAACTTCATGACATTGCACTTGGTGGGGTTAAACTCCAGGACCCAGTAGCTGGACTAGGCTTGTAGCCTGTCCATATCCCTTTGTAGTCCTGCCTGATCCTTATCTGTTTTAATTCTTCTCGTTATCTTCACATCGTCTGCAAAGAGGGACACCTTAGAATTTATTCCTTCCATCATATCATTCACATATTCAAGAAACAGCAACGGACCTAGGACTGACCCTTGTGGAACCCTGCTCGACACATGTGTCCATTCTGACACCTCATCACGTACCAACACTCGTTGTTTCCTTTCTGTCAGGTGTTCCCTGATCCATTGCAGTGCTTTACCTGGAGTTTACCTGGAGAGAGTTTCGGGGGTCAACGCCCCCGCGGCCCGGTCTGTGACCAGGCCTCCTGGTGGATCAGCGCCTGATCAACCAGGCTGTTACTGCTGGCTGCACGCAAACCAACGTACGAGCCACAGCCCGGCTGATCAGGAACTGACTTTAGGTGCTTGTCCAGTGCCAGCTTGAAGACTGCCAGGGGTCTGTTGGTAATCCCTCTTATGTGTGCTGGGAGGCAGTTGAACAGTCTCGGGCCCCTGACACTTATTGTATGGTCTCTTAACGTGCTAGTGACACCCCTGCTTTTCATTGGGGGGATGGTGCATCGTCTGCCAAGTCTTTTGCTTTCGTAGTGAGTGATTTTCGTGTGCAAGTTCGGTACTAGTCCCTCTAGGATTTTCCAGGTGTATATAATCATGTATCTCTCCCTCCTGCGTTCCAGGGAATACTATTCCTGCGTGCTCCTCTAGTTTTTGAACCAGTCTCTTGTGTGGTACTGTCAAAAACCTTCTTATAATCCTAAATGATGCAATCTGCCTATCTCTCTCTCATAAGAACATAAGAAAGGAGGAACACTGCAGCAGGCCTGTTGGCCCATACTAGGCAGGTCCTTTACAATTCATCCCACTAACAAAACATTTGCCCAACCCAATTTTCAATGCTACCCAAGAAATAAGCTCTGTGCAAGTCCCACTCAAATCCAACCCCTCCCACTCCTGTACTTATCTAACCTAAATTTGAAACTACCCAAAGTCCTAGCCTCAATAACCCAACTAGGTAGACTGTTCCACTCATCAACTGCCCTATTTCCAAACCAATACTTTCCTATGTCCTTTCTAAATCTAAAAATTACTTATTTTAAATCCATTAAATGCAGGTTTTCTCTTGGAGGGGATATCCTCATGACCTTATTAATATCCCCTTTATTAATACCTATCTTCCACTTATACACTTCGATCAGGTCTCCCATCATTCTTCGTCTAACAAGTGAATGTAATTTAAGAGTCTTCAATCTTTCTTCATAAGGAAGATTTCTAATGCTATGTATTAATTTAGTCATCCTACGCTGAATGTTTTCTAACGAATTTATGTCCATTCTGTAATATGGAGACCAGAATTGAGCTGCATAATCTAGGTGAGGCCTTACTAATGACGTATAAAGCTGCAGTATGACCTCTGGACTTCTGTTGCTTGCACTTCTTGATATAAATCCCAGTAATCTATTTTCGTTATTACGTACGCTTAGGCACTGCTGTCTTGGTTTAAGGTTGCTGCTCACCATAACCCCCATTCTGAAATCCATTGACAAGAAACACCAATATGAAAAGCAATATAGACAGGGCTTAATACACAAAGATACTCTTAAACACTATTCATCAGCTCTCACCAAAGTAATAAAGAAAGCCAAACAACTATACTACTCCATGTAAAGTAAAAGGACACAAGTGCAACTAATGTGACATTTATTTGTGCAACGTTTCGCTCTCCAGGAGCTTTTATCAAGCCATTACAAACAATACATGGACACAGAGGGTATATAAAGCCTCCAGAGTGAGGTGAATACTAGTGAGGTACCATTCGATGTTCACTAGTGGTAGTAGTGGTATGACAAAAGTAATACAATATGGTAGAGCAATTAATTCGTACATGAGTAAAAGGATATAAAAGCTATTACTTGGGTAACATAAAAATAGGTTGGACAAATATAAACTGGAATGAGGCAGCTTGTTTCAGTGTTCACTCTGTGCTTTGTGTAGTATAACAGGAGAGACTATGTGATGGCAGGGTTTACTGTTTTCAGGAGGATTCTTGCTAAGACTTCGGAGATGGTGAAGCTGCCGTTGTTTTGTTTAATTGTATTCGGTTGTTAGGTAAGACACATATGCAACAGTTAGACAACTTTATTCCGAAACGTTTCGCCTACACAGTAGGCCTTCCTCAGTCGAATACAGAAAGTAGGCAGGAACAGTAGAGATGTGAAGACGATGTAATCAGTCCATCACCCTTAAAGTCGTAGAATTTGAGGTTGTCAGTCCCTCGGCCTGGAGAAGTTCAGTTCCATAGTCAGGAACTATCTGAAGATCAAGCGACAGTGCGGAGACTTAAATACTGTCGGGAAAGGGGAGGTGCAGGGTAGTAGTAGTAGTAGTAGTAGTAGTAGTAGTAGTAGTAGAAATAGTAGTAGTGAGAGGCAACTGAGAGGTCATTTCCCTCTCAAATCCAACCCTTCTCACTTGAAAAGCTTGTCCAAGCTGTTTTCTGTACCAAGATGCCCCCGTGTTGCAGTGTCTGACAAGATGAAAATCAAATGGTATACAATACCGACAGGTTGTTAGGTAAGACACATATGCAACAGTTAGACAACTTTATTCCGAAACGTTTCGCCTACACAGTAGGGTTCCTCAGTCGAATACAGAAAGTAGGCAGGAACAGTAGAGATGTGAAGACGATGTAATCAGTCCATCACCCTTAAAGTCGTAGAATTTGAGGTTGTCAGTCCCTCGGCCTGGGAAGTTCAGTTTCCATAGTCAGGAACTATCTGAAGATCAAGCGACAGTGCGGAGACTTAAATACTGTCGGAAGGAGAGGTGCCCGGGTAGTAAATAGTAGTAGTAGTAGTAGTAGTAGTAGTGTAGTAGTGAGAGGCAACTGAGAGGTCATGTCCCTCTCAGATCCAACCCTTCTCACTTGAAAAGCTTGTCCAAGCTGTTTTCTGTACCAAGATGCCACGTGTTTCAGTGTCTGACAAGATGAACATCAAAATGTATACAATACCGACAGGTTTTAGGTAAGACACATATGCAACAGTTAGACAACTTTAAATTTCCGAAACGTTTCGCCTACACAGTAGGCTTCCTCAGTCGATACAGAAAGTAGGCAGGAACAGTAGAGATGTGAAGACGATGTAATCAGTCCATCACCCTTAAAATCGTAGAATTTGAGGTTGTCAGTCCCTCGGCCTGGAGAAGTTCAGTTCCATAGTCAGGAACTATCTGAAGATCAAGCGACAGTGCGGAGACTTAAATACGGGCGGAAGGGGAGGTGCAGGTAGTAG